TAGTCGCGGCGTATAAACTCGCCGGTTGATCTGTTTTATCTTTCTCCGAGAACGGAACTTTCGTGTTGAGTCCGTAGACGGAGCTGGACGAAGCCCAGACTATAGCAGGTTGTGGATTCACAGATTTGCAGATCTCGAGGAGATTGACAAATCCGGCGATGTTGCTATGAACATAAGAGCTAGGGTTTTCCATTGCGTACCGTACACCAGCTTGAGCTGCTAAATGCATAACGTGTGTGAAGGAGACGATCTTGAATAGCTTACGAAGCAATTCGACGTCGTTTATGTCTCCTTCTACGATGAAGATCCCACTTCTTTCGAGCAAAGCTTGTCTTGCTCGTTTCAGAGATGGATCGTAGTAATCGTTGAAGTTGTCGAGGCCGATTACGCCGTCTCCACGGCGTTTTAATGCGGCGGAGACGTGTGTTCCGACGAAACCAGCTGCTCCGGTGACTAAAACTGTGATTCCGTTGGTTGTTGAGGTTCGGATTCGAGCTGAGGATCGGAGACGTTTTTCCCAAGCTGGTCCTCCGTAGCTGTTGGTTCGGAGTGAACGGCGAGATGGATCGGACGGTGAAGAAGGGTTAATGGACAGGGGAGATCGGAGGAAGAGTAGAGAGATGAGACAGAGGAGGAAGAAGGAGAAAAATGCAAACTTTGTGAGAGAAGATTGGAATCTGAGACGATGCAAGTAAGAAGATTTCTCCATCTTGAATTTGCCTGGGCTTGAAGGTATGTCATCAAGACGCGACATTTTCTCGGGAATGTGAAGGAAAATTTGGGTTCTCTCTTCTTCTTCTTCTTCTTCTTCTTCTTCTTTGGTCTCTCTTCCTTTATTAGTTTTAATGGCAGCTTCTTAGAATCTTCAGGTTTCTTGGAGGGATTAAATTAAAACAAGGTTTCTTTATTATGACTCCAAAATGAGAAACACGAATATTATCTTTTTAATAAAATATATTCGAGGATCAAAGTTTGGTTTATAACAGGGTGTGATAAAGAGAGTGTTTAAATTAGAACATGGGGATTGAAGATTTTAAGAGATCCAAATCAAGGGAAAATATGAAGAAGAAGAGAGTCAAAAACAGGTTTTTTTTTTTTAATCTGTTTGACTTGAATTTTTTTTTTTTAAAAGTAGAAAATGTGGAGATTTCTGTTAATAATTGATAAAACAATAAAATTTTGACTGTAAAAGTTTGTTGACTCTTCGAAAGATTTGTTGTCGAGTCTTGAAATTTGATTGGTGAGAATACTAATACTCCAAGATTTTCGGGAAGCCACTCGTCCCAAATTTTTTTGAATTGGAACCAAAGTTAACTTTTGTTACTAATAGATTTGTTTTGCGGATAGTTATTAAATAAGAAATGGACTCTAAATTTGAATAGAGGTTGTTGATGATCCTAAATCCTACTATGTTTTTACGTTTTCCTTGAATGGTGTAAGAGATATTTTGGGCTCTTAAAACTTTGATTTTAGTGCTTTTGATCTAAAAAAACGAGTAATGATCTAAAATACATTTCCAAAACATCTGACCATAACAATTCTCTAAATATGACATTTTAGTACAAGTCATGATCTTAAAGTGTGTAGGGTTAAAATCATGGTTTAGTAAAAACCCACTTTTTTTAAAATGTATAAACAAAAAAGTTGTTGGAATCACAAGAATATGTTTTAGCTTTTATATATTTATTATTGCAAAAAGGCACAAGTGAATAAAAGGCTAATAATGATGGCACACAAAGACCCCATGTGAAGATTTGATTACATAAGACAAGAACATGTCCTCTTTTTCTTCTTTATGAATTGGCATAACATGTCCCCGTGCCTTTGTCCCTCTTTCTCCAAGATCTACTCTCTTGTCTCTTTCCCATTGCAGTTTAAATTCCAAGACAAAACAATAGTGAGTGACCCATTAGGCCCATCTTCTTGATTGTAAGGGATCCAAATGGCAATGCCATTCGTTTGTGGTAGCGATTTTGAATGTGTTAGATGTGGGTGGTTTTGGAGGCAAATTCCCATTGAACGCCAAACAGTTATTGTGATTTCGCAAAAAAAGGTGATTTTGTGAAACTCTACCAAATTGCAAGATTCCCTGAAATCTCTAGCCTCAAAACAACAGAGAGTCAAACAGAGTTGGAGTCAAAACAGGCTGGGACACAATGGGCTTGGTCGGCCCATCATCCAAACACTAATTACAAGAGTATTAAAGACCAAAACCGATTCAATAATTGCATCTCAATTCTCACTCAGTTCAGTTACACGCAAAATGTTACAGAGGCAAGAAATATGGAAACAGATAAGCTTGGATCAGAAAAAAAAACACAGAAGTTTTTTGTTTAGTGCTTTGTGATTCTTTCAAGGACTTGGAAGTAGTCGGGGAAGGTTTTCCTGGTGCAACCGGGATCATTGATGGTGATTGGAACGTCAGCACAAGCTGCAAGAGAGAATGCCATTGCCATTCTATGATCATCATATGTATCAATCTCTGCCGGTTTCACCTTTTTTGGTGGAGTTATCACACAATAATCTGAACCTTCTTCCACTGTAGCTCCCAGCTGAACACAAAAACCGCAAAATTTAAGCGAATTTAGTTAGTATGAGCACCATAAACAAAAAGAGAGAGAGAGAGAGAAGAATCTTACCTTTCTAAGCTCTGTGCAAATGGCAATCATCCTTTCTGTCTCCTTTACTCTCCAGCTAGCCACTATATATATTGACCAAATAGAATTAAGTGACCATGAATATTGAGAGACCTTAAATTATAAGAGAGAGAGCTTTTTACTTACCATCTCTAATGGTAGTTGGACCGTCGGCAAAGAGAGCAACGACGGCAAGAGTCATGGCTACATCAGGCATTTTGTTCATGTTGACATCAATAGCGCGCAAGTGTCTCATTCCAAAAGCATCTCTAGGTGGTCCTGTCACAGTCACACTGTTCTCTGTCCAGGACACTTTACATCCCATTTTCTCAAGGACCTCGGCGAATTTTACATCTCCCTAGAGATTCATCACAAAAATTGAGCTTAGATTCTTGCGAATATGTTGCATACAACTTGTCAAAAGATGAAACTTTGACCTAAACGAATTTCACTATAAACTTAACAGCCTCGTTGATGATTCAGTGTACAAATATTACCTGCAAGCTGGTAGTTCCACAACCTTCAACAGTGACAGTTTCACCGGTAATGGCAGCACCAGCCAAGAAATAACTAGCACTAGAAGCATCACCTTCTACGTACGCATTACCAGGTGACCTGCATCATTTTACCGTATAAGTCATTATTTGGTCAATCTAAGGTATGTGATTTCAGAAAAGGAAGAGAATAATAACTCTTACTTGTATTTTTGCCCGCCCTTAACAAAGAAACGGTCCCAGCTATCACTATGCTCGGTACTAACCCCAAAACGTTCCATCAACTTCAATGTCATTTCAACATATGGAACAGAAATCAATTTATCGACTATCTCAATCTCGACGTCTCCAAGAGCTAAGGGAGCTGCCATGAGCAAAGCAGTCAAGTACTGACTACTAATTGATCCAGAAAGCTTCACCTGCAAATGCAAAAAAAGGTTAGATGTGTCAATAAAGAAACCATACAAGGAAAAAGGTAATCAAGAAAGAAAACTAAAACCTACTAAAAAAAAAACTGATTCCTTTTTACAAACAATCCATTTTCAACAAACTAAAAGATGAAATCTTGTCAAGTAAGGCTATGATGAACACACAATTCTGCAAGTGTTTATAATGTAAGTGTAGAGATTACAAATCACACATGCCATTTGCAAGATCTCACCTTTCCACCAGGAAGGCCACCATTAGCGTTGACACGAACAGGAGGGCAGTTAGTTCCAAGAGTACATTCAACATCAGCACCAAGCTGCTTAAGACCAACAACCAAATCCCCTATAGGTCTTTCCCTCATCCGAGGCACCCCATCAAGCACATAACTGGAATAAACGGATCAGGAAAAAAATCAACACAAGCTCCATTCTCTTGAACATCAAATACCAAGAAGCATCAACTCCTTCAATCTACCTTGCGTTTCCACCTGCAGCAGTAACCGCAGCGGTAAGTGGACGCATTGCTGTTCCTGCATTACCGAGGTAAAGTTCGATATCACTCTTTGAATCTATGGAAGCTGGGAATATGCCGCCACATCCTTCAACTACGGCACGATTGTTTTCACTGTCAGTTTCCACATTAAGTCCCAATCTCTTCAACGCATCAAGCATGTAATTGATGTCATCACTGTTCAACAAGTTGTCCACTACAGTAGTTCCCTATAAAACCATAGCAAAATGGTAAAGTATCTATCTTTAATCCAAATTCAGATTACAGAGAAGGACGAAACGAAGTGATATATATACCTCAGATAGAGCAGCGAGAAGCAGGATCCGATTAGACAGAGACTTGGAGCCAGGGAGCTTAATAAGACCCGAGATTTCTCTAATGGGTTGAAGCACAATCTCCGACGCTTTCTCCGCCGTGGAAACAGAAGACATAACCTTAACCGGACGAATCTCAGAACCAATTAGCGTCATCCCACTCTTCTTTAATCCCCACGACGAAATCGGATAAGCTCGTGGATGCTTCAGAGAAACCGATAACGGAGATTTGCGTTGGCTGGATTTCGAGAGATTAGAGATAACACATGGGTTCTGCACACCATTGTAGATTCTGCTAACTTGCGCCATTGAAGAACTTCAATTGAAGCAATCGAAAAATGGGGTTTTGAGAAACTAGTTGAAAAATTTGATCTTTCAACTCTATCTTCCTCCAATTACGCAAAATTTCAGAAATTTGTTGGTCTAATCACAGATCACAGAAATGAAATTTATGAACTTTCGTTTACTTTGGCGGCTTTGCAAATATAAACACTTTTGAGGGAGTTGGTGAGAAGAAGGCATCCGTCAAAATCTTTCACCAACCCAACTCTAATGACTCTGCGATGCTAACGAGCATTTATCATATCCAATTATAATATGACACGTGCGCTGATTAGGTGTTTTCGTCAACTAGTCGAGAGGCTTTGGTTTCGGTAGGTGAAAGAAATATTACATTGGGCCTCAAGAAAGATAATGGGCTTTTCGAGAAGGGAATATGCTTTTTTGTGGATAATCTTTCTTGTTTCCAAAAAAGCTTCTTATGTTATGATTCTTTGGAGATATTCACAAGTTATGAATCATTTGTTTTTGGTCTTGCACGTTGTATGTTGAATCTGCTATTTTTGGAGTATTAATTAATCCTCACATGAGTGTGTCTAATGATGTAGTTGTGAAACCAATGCTTAACATAAATTAAAAGAAACCGAACCAGAATATACTTATCACAAGTAATCTTCAATTATCTTTAAGAATATGATATTCTCAATGTACCATGGAAAGGCACATGATATTCTCAATGTAACCTGGAAACACACAAGATATCACGATCATGCTTCCCAATTCCATGGATACGTCTAAACCCAAAATCTGCAACTCTCTTGGATTACATCGCAAGTCATGTTATTCCACAACTCCTCTTTCTCTTGAACCCACAAACGCATCTCATCATACAAGTAATCATACTCTATTCCTCCAAATTTCCCTCGGTGATTTATAAAATTCCAACTTGTGATATCATCGTCTTTCGGTGCTTGAATAAACATCATCTTCTCGTATCTAAGATCGAATCTAGCTATCGTGTTATGTCCAACTCCGTAGTATATAGTACCATTGATGCAAAGTCCACCTTCTACATCTGTGTAAGACTCTCCGGTGGGGGTCTCGACCCTTCTCCAACATTCGGGTCGACAAGAACTCAGCGTTGAAACGACATGTTCTTGTTCTAGTTTTATACCTCTTCTACCGCGTTCGTGTCCATCTAACATCATCATCACACACAATACTTTGTATTCATCTTCCACCGGATCGTACCCGAGCCGTGCGTGCGTGACTCTTCCGTTGGCTCTGACATTGGGCAGTATCAACAACTGTCTCGTGGTCGGATTACAAACAGCGATTGATGAGCCACGTGTGCAACAAATCAGACCGTTCACGGGGGGACATGTGATGTAGTAGGGGTAGGCGTCATATCTCTTGTTGTAGCCGAGATTAGAGATCGTCATGTCGTGTCTTGCTACAACTGTGGACGATTTTTCGTGTTCAGGGGCTGAGAAGATGAAAAGCTTCCGGGAATCCAAGTGGTTAAAGCTGAAAAGGAGACGAGGCCGAGTCCTTGACCAAGTCAGAAAGGCGTCGGCAAAATCTTTACTGTCGATGATAGAGCGCCAGAGCATCGATACGGATCGGAATCTGATGATAGATTTCGCCGGAAGCCTCGATAGTATCTCGAAGGTGAGTTTAAGAGGAATGCTTGTTGTGGAGTTTCCGGCATGATCTAGGTTACGTGATGTACACGGTTGTGAATCTTCCATTGTGGCTTGGTATAGTTATAGCCCTAGAAACAGAAAAATAACCAATATATATAATACAAGGCACTTTTGTTTTTCCATAAATAATTAAACAAAATTGGAAAGATGCAGGACCTAATTCCGTGCCATTCCAATTTTTTACCTATTTATTTAGTTCCATTAATTTTTATTTTTTTTTCGCCTATGGAAATTGGAAAGTGTCACTGTGCTATACATGCATGCATGAACTTTTGTTTACATATATTTTTTGGTCGGCCTACTTTTTATATTCGTTACTTAATTTTGTTATCAATCAAAGTATACCCTAAATGTTTATTATCGTTTTCAAGAATAGCAATTTTCTTTAAATAACATAATTGTGTATTATTACTATCGTTGTACTATTTGAATTAAAATTAATATGTTGATGAGAAAAAAAGCGAAAGATGTTGAAATTTAACATTGCGGATAAAGGGAATTACTCTTTAATTATTTTTCATTAGATTTCACAACTGAAAATATACATTTTCCTAATATTACTTACATTAATGGTCAATTAATCATCAGACAAACCAATCAATTAGACTACAAGTATATGTAAGACTAGTTGAGACGATAGAAGTTCAACATTGCAGAACATGTCAGGATTACATGTTTTTGCGAAATAAAATCAAGCATAAAAGTACAATATAGAGTTGTTGTTTACAAAGATCAAAACTATGTTAGTTACAAGAAAATAAAAGCATCCTTTTTTATTTGGACAAAGAAGATAATGCTTATGGAATGTCTCTTACTTCAAATGCAAACCTCAGTAGTACCTGTAAGATATTTTTTAGATAAGTGACTTAGCTGCTTCAACCATAGCTTCAATGGTGATACCAAACTCTTTATAAAGCTTTTCTGCTGGTGCACTTGCTCCAAACGTGTCAATTCCAATCGATTGCCAGAAACCTGATCGTGTTCACCAATTAATCAACCAGGGACGATGCAGAACTTGTTTCGATTGTCTCTACGGTGGCTGCACGAACGAGAGGGCGGAGAGAGCGACTTATCGTGGAGGCGTTGCGTCGACGGGAAGAGATGGTGCGTTGGGAAGTGGTTCTGAGACCAGAGAAAGCTGGTATAGAGACGCAGTTTTCAGAGCCATTGTGAGAGATGGCTCGTGTAAAGGAGAGCTTGTGAGAGCACTAGAGAAGAAGTAGAAGCCATTGGATTCAGAAAGGACACAATCTTGACGGCTGAGATCCTCTACAGCTTTAACAATTTATTCCAACATAATTTTTTGGTTTAATTTTCAACTTATCATTGTTTTTTACGCTAATTGTTACATAATTTAATTTTAAGTCAAAAAGAGAATACACGTATAAGATGGACAATGCGGCATGGTTGGTGTGTAAAGCAAAAGCCATGGTCATGACAAGGGTAGGTGAAGAACATAATTGCTTTAGATTTAAGAAATACATTTAGTCACTAATTCACCAACTCCGGTATTGACCACCCTAAAGCAGGCAGTTCAATCGAATCAAGAACCGAACCAAAGCTAAACCGGGGAAAGCTTACTCATGTCCTTGTGACTGTGTTGTGGACCTTGTGGTGTGTCGTTACATCATCTTGACCCGTTTGCTACTTGAGGAGGAGTTTCTTAGACCTCTACTGGTTACAGTGTATGAAGCCGAAGCTGAAGGAAGTGAAGGGGACTTATCAATATACGCATAACGTTCATCACCGTTCCAATACAGAATGACTCGGTTGGTGCATGAATGAGACCAGCTATCGCCTGAAAACAGCACAAGTTGAACATTTAAGAATCATAACAAATGAATGATGATGATGATAATAGCAAATTGAGATGGTGGATTTGAGTTTGGTTCACCTAATGCAAGCGCTAGTTGAAACGAGCCTTCAGTGTACTTTGTGGTCACTTGGTTTAGTAACACAACCTGTGACAGGACTTTAAGAGTTTATGATGGAACCTCTACTTAAGCTAATCCGGATTAAGTCAAGGATGTATTGTGAATTAGATCATTTCTTGCGGACATTCTTACCGCAAGTGAGAACTTTTTGGCAAGCTTCATGAACTTTAAAGCCATTTCGCTGAGAACTCGTGTCCTCTGGACTAAGTCATCAAAGTCCTGACGGAAATGAAACGTGATACTGTCTACAATCACAACTTTAACCTGCAACCATAAAAGGTTAAAGAGAGTCTTAGTGACCGCTGAATTATGTCACAACATACTTGTAGCAACAAGATCAATGGATTTCGGAGTTGAACTTAAATTTTTATACCTACATCTTTATTTTCAGAGATGAACTTGTCAAGATGATTGACCAAAGCGATTTGCTCGGTGTAACTGCAGACACGGAAGTAGAATATGTTATCTAAGATATCTTTGGGTTTCATTTGTACTTGATTTGCCTGAAAATGTTTATGCATGTATCCTGTGTATTCTTCCATGTCCTCTACACAAGCTTCTGCTATTTGTAAAGCACGCTCCACCATGAAGCTACCTTCTGTATCTGTAGCATACAAAAACTTGGGAATCGCAGGCATTAACAACCAAGTAAGTGATCAACCAAGCCATTAGTCATCGTTACTAAAGAAACATACCGATATATATTGCTTTCCCTCCAAGACCACCACACTCACGAGGAATCTGAACATTCACAGAGAGCTGGATCCTGAAATCAAATCGAAGTTAACGGAAGAGTAAACTCTGCTGAGAAAGTAGAGGAAACCAGTGAAGCGGATTTACCCAATCTGAGTCTTGCCAATCCCCGGTACCCCACCTTTGAGAAAATAAGCAAACGACTAAATCACTTAATGATCTCAAATTGGACCAGAGAAAGAAAAAAATGGAGATGACATACCAATCTCTGTAACATCCCTACAGCTTATTCCACCACCCAAAATGCTATCAAGATCAGAGCAAGATGTAGTAATGCGCGGCAAAGACTCCTCCTCGTGAAGCATATCCCAAGCGTTCTTTGCTCCTTTGTTTAGTTAGAAAGTTCAAAAAGAGAATCCTTCAGTGAATCATTTAAGAAGAAAACCCCAACAGAGCTTCAAGGAGTTACCATTTATGAGAGAACGGCTTCCATTGCAAGAACTGGATCCTGAGGATTGATTAGCCATCCTTAAAATCTCAAATGCTTCCTCCTCTGTGATATTTACATCTGCTCACACACCAAGGATAACAAAGATGACACATTTTTCCTCAAAACACACACACACAAATAGATTTATTCCAGAAATAAGCCTTAAACAAGAAACTAAATAGTATAATCAGAATTTGATAAACCCTAAAGCTCAACCCGTGACTAATCGATTGAGGTTTACTGGGAAATCAGAGAAAAACAGCATTTGACCCAAAAAAAAACCTATACGAACAATAGATTCTACTCTTCTGTGTAAGATTAGGGTAAAGCAACATTTCACCTCGAGCGAGATCAGAAGAAGAAACCGAAGAAATCAATGACAGAGAAGTATAACCAGCCGATATCAGCTTTCCTCTAATCGAAGACGATAACGGTAACCTCCATGCCTCCATAACTGTAGTCGCGAGAGAATCGCCGGCGATTTACGCCGCCCAAATCAATGTAGGAATGAATTAAAATGTAAAATGAACCAGACACGGTTTAGATTAACCGGGACCACTGATTGAACGAAATTGATTCAATAATTAACCGGACAAGCGTTTTTTGTTCCTCAGTGAAAAGGTAAAAAAAAAAAAAAAAATTCATGTAAGAAAACTTTTCAATTGCATATACAGTATATTCTTGTTTGAAGAGATGGTATTGTATTAGATTACTTAATGAATTAAATTATTAAAAATCATAGAAATCAATTTATATACTTAAATGAAAAACCTATATAGTAAAGATTATTATAATATTGAATGAGTTTAATCACTAATATCTTTACATACTTAAGTGAAAAAATGGTAGATATAGTAAAATTGAATAAGTGAAATAATTGGTAAAATTTGAGACAAAAATAAATGATGAAACTCCATATGCATTGTCAAAATTTATGTTTGAGACAAAAAAAAAACATTCATGGATATATATTTGTTCTGAATTATTATGAATATTTCATAAAGAGTTAGGTGAATTATGTGCATAGAAAGTTCACTTGATCTTTTTTTGAATAATATGAGAAATGATGAATTTTTATGGTGGAATCGTATATGATATTAGATTCTCTATTCGTTATTTTGCAGTTGAGTTTTCTAGATTTTGCTGGTTCAGAGAGTAAAAAAGTCGGACTATTATGGTTGTAAATTAGAAGAATATCGAAGTACCAACAAATCACTTCGTGCATTGGGTTATGTTATTAGGGTTTTGTCTTCTTGCCAACAATACATTCCTTACATAAACCACAAGTTAACAATGTTAATGAGCGATTCATTGGGCGGCAATGCTAAGACGTTAATATTTGTTAATGTGTGAGAAGCTGAGTTATGAATTTGGGATGTTGACTGGCGTCGCAACACAAGAAGCGAGCACATGAAGAAGCAGACCCGACCCCAAACTCCACCAAAAATACCACTTGTGGAGAAAGGTGCTTATCATCTAGATGGTAACAATGTTTTTTTTTTGCAGTGTTGGTTGGCTGTGTTTTTTAATGGTGGTTATTACTAAATTTTTTGAAACTTATTGTCGAAAGAGTTTTTCTTCTAAATATTAAAATTTAATTCAAAAACTAAAAAATTAATAACATATAAAACACTAGTTTTATTCTGATAAAATTTTCTCAATTCATATTTTTATAAAATTTAAACACTTAAAAAAATCTCTTTGTAAATTAATAAATAATAATTTATGATATATAATAATTTATAGCAAAAATAATTAGCGGTATATATTAATAAAATATCATAATCCTAACATTATTAGAGGTCAGCACTAAAGAATTAAAATATCATAGTCCTAAAAATTCACTTAGGAGAGTTTGATGGATTTTAAATTTGGAGAGATTTGGGAGAATTTGAAGGTGATTGCAGTGAATTTTTAAGATTTTAGAAAATATTTTTTTTGATTTGGTTAGATGTATTATACCAAATTTTGGAATATTTTGGAGTGCTACATGTGACTTTACAATCCAATAAAACTGTTATCATTAGTCACCACCATTCGTCACTTCCTTCCACTCCCTTGTTTTCGTTTTTGCCATCGATGTTAACCATCTTTGTGTAACATTCTAATTCAACACATGGAGCAATTTTTTAAAAAAACAAGCCTTTTCAGAATTAGAAAGGAGAGAGAACGAGTTTAATCGTTTGATCAATTATTGAAGACAGAGAACCAATCGATGTGAAGAATGATAAGGATTCTGAGGACCACGGTTTAGCTTAACCGGGACCACTGATTGAACGAAACTAAATTAACCGGAAAAGCGTTTGTTCCTCAGTGAAAAGGTTACAAGATTTGAGAGACAAAGATTTGATTTGAGAGACAAGACTATCTTTCTTGCTACGTTTATGTTTGTTGTTGAAGAGAATCTGCTCGGATAATTGAAGTAAGTGAAGGGTGAATCCGCGCAGTTCTCATAGAACGAGCTTTGCTTCTTCCTTTTGCATACTCCTCTCCAAGAGGCCACCTTGGTCGAAGATCATACTAAATTCATAACCCACAAAACATCAATCAGAAAGTTCAAATATTTTCATATTTCAAACAATAGAATATTTCAACGTATCGACCTTTGTTTAAAAACCGTACCACAAAATCATCAGGTTCAGTTGCAGGTGGAGGTGGATCGTATCTTCCTACACGGAAATGCTCGAGACCAGTCCAAGCCACCATTACTCCTGAAGAGATTAGTGAAATGTTAATTTCTTTTCTCTGCATCTCTAATTTGATCAGTAGGAGAATCTCAAACTCTGTTTACCATTGTCTGTGCAAAGGCTAGGAGGAGGGCAAACAAGTTTCAGGTTTTTGTTTTCGACAATGTTATTAAGTCGGAGTCGTACATACTTGTTTGAAGCAACACCACCAGAGACTACCTGATGATTAGTCAATATTAGTCTAGAATCGTATTGTCAAGCAAAACAGAGGGTTTTTTTTTCCCTAAGCCCCACCATATGTTTTATAGAAGGCTCGAGTTCTAGTGCCCAGTCTATAGCTCGCTCACACTTTTCCTCCAGATGCAAGACAGCTACTCGCTGCTTCAAATGAACTGAACATGTTTACAAATCAGCATTTCACTAGAACATTACTACCACAGATTGATTTCTACCTGGAAAGAAGCGGCGATATCAGCACGGTTTCTTCTGTCTTCGTTTGTTGCAGAAGAGACAGGACATTTAGCATCGCTGCAAATCCAGCAAACGACCAATATTTTTGTAACACAAAGCTTCAGCACATGTGACATAACTCGGATAAACAATTCCCAAAGCTGATTTTAAGATCTCACTATTTTACATTTCTTTGGCTTCAATGGCTAGCCTCACTTGTGTCTTCAAACCAGCATAAGAAAAGTTGCAATCTTTATGATATTTCATTGGAACCTGATAAACAAGGTAAACAATATCACACAAATGATGTGAACATTGAGTAGAAGAAGAAAAAGATATCTAACCAACCAGTAAACAATTTCACTTACATTAAACTTAACAGACTTTGCATCACCCTCCAGAGCAAGTTCTTCAACAGCTGGTCCACCACTCCTGCGCATATCAAGACCGAGCCATTTTGCTGTCTTGTCAAATGCCTCACCTATAGCATCATCTACTGTAGTCCCAAGTTGTGTGTACTGACCAAGCTTATGCGCAAGAACTAGCAGATTGTGCCCTCCTTAATAAATAAAAAGTGGCAGCGCTGTTTAGATAGAAACCTAAACCCTTTTATGAAACTGATTCTGCTTAAGAAATAGACAATTTAAGCAATACCTGATATAAGCAATGCCATGAACGGAAAGCTTAATTCTTGCTCTACTAACCTACAATGACAAATCAAAAGCTGACGAGCAATTCATAAATCTCAAAATGGGAGCAAAAACATCAAGTAAACACACTAATCAATACCTAGCTACAAGGGCATGAGCCTCCATGTGATGCACCCCGACAATTGGGAGACTGAAGTTACCAGCAACGCTACGAGCCTTTCGCACACCAACTGTATGACTCAAAGAGGAAAAGTTTAATCATTACCTGTGATTTCAAATTACTCTTAAGAGTGAATACATTTTTCCTCCAACTTACCGCGTAGACAGAGGCTCAAACCAGGTCCAATGGTAACAGCAACAGCAGAGAGATCCTTCTCGGTCAAACTGGCTCTATCAAGCGCGTCTTGCACAACCTGCAACAAATGAATACACATTTTTTCTGCCGTTAGCATCAAACCCCAACGAAGTAACCATATACAGCAAAATGAAGTATCTGGAACAATTCTGAACAAGGACTGAATCTAGATACTTGAGAGGTATTGAGTCTTGCAATGATTAGTAATGATGAAACGTCTATACTACCTTATCGATAACTTGGGAGTGTGCTTCTTCAGCCTGTTTAGGAGCGACGCCTCCATATTGGGCAAGCAATTCTGCCTTGATATCACCAATTCCGAGATCAAAACAGGTGAAACTTAACGAATTATATAAAAGATAGAAATTTTTAAAAGTGAAAGGCTTTCTCAGACAAAACTGTGTATTCAAGTGATTAGTGGAGTCTTGTAAACATGAAATGCACGCCAAAGAATCTACTTGCCGATAATAAAGCAACGGAGTGTTCATTACCTGAGAAGAAATGACTTGGCTGAGAATTTCACCATTACCTCTCACCTGAAAACCACACATTCCAACATCAGAAAGGAGCAGTGAACTAATGTAAGTTAACACAAATAAGTAACGACGAGAAGAAGAAACGGGCTTACAACAGCTGCGGCAGTGTCGTCGCAGCTCGTTTCAATACCCAGAACAACCAAAGTATCATCAAAATTCGAATTTTCGCTATTGGGTAACGAGTAGTAGATTCTTGTTCCGATAGAATAAAAACGTGTCCTTTGAAAATTGGGTGAAGATGAAGGAGATATTAACGAGAAAGCCGGGGTTTTGGTTCTAAGTTTAGTCGCTAATATTGAGATTCCAGGAAAAAGATTGAATCGGGGAATCGCCGGAGAAAGTGTAAGAAACAGACGAACCATTTCACACTGAACCGAAAGAGAAAAAGACGGGAACTTGCGCTGAGCTGTGCCGAGAAGATGAGTTTGGATTGCTGCCGAATCCGGTTTAAATCCGAACCGAAATATTGAACCGGTTTGAATGGACCATGGTGATTGGGTCCTGGTTTAGAGGTTTTAAGCAAGAAGAAATAATGATGAGCTTTACCATTTCCGTTCACTTCCTAGAAAAGTATATACCTTTCTCTGTATTTCCGGCTAAATCTCCGGCGACTGTGAGCTTGATGTTTCGTTCTCATCTACTTATTTGGCGTGAAAGCTGATCAAAAGTTAGTTGACTTGTCGCGAAACTTCTTTTGTCTGTCGCAAATCCAGGTGATCTCTCTCTTTTGTTTTCGATCTCTTCTCTCTAGATTCATTTGCTCCATTTCTTTCTCTAATCACAAACCTAAATTGCAAAACTTGTGAAAATTTTCTGGAAATGAACACTGTAGCAAGATCTT